GAAAACGAGAAAATTGTGTCCAAAATGTCGACTCTTAAAGTGTTTATCATCGGGAATGAAGACTGTATTAAAAATACTTTTAAATTGTTTTATATATTTATAACAAAATATTTTTAATGTTTTTTTTTGTAGGAATTAATGAGAAGTTTAGCCGAAAATGAAAAGCGAAAGCAAACAAAGGAAAGAAACAAAAGGCAAAAACTGAGCGCAAACTCAACGACAAGTAGTGATGGCCCGCAAGAAGTGGCGGACAACGAGAATAAGTGCCCAGAAATTGATAATTTAATTCGGGATCCGTTGAACATCACCGACGATGAACTGATCCAACACGTGATGGACATCAAGAATATGTCGGATTGTATTTCAAGTATCGGTGACTACATAACACAGCCTATGGTTAGGGTTATCACGGATTATGAGGGTATAAATCGGTTAGAGTACAGCCGTATTAATGAGTTGTTGAACGCGTCCCGTGTTTTCAATCAAATAATACGTAGCGATAGCGTCATGTGTCAAAATGAGCATGGTCAAATATTTAGCGCGCAGCAAACTGATAGCCGCGTTAACGAAGTGGTAAATTTCACTAAACGTTTGGAGGGGTTCACAAAGTGCTGCGCCGACGACCAGTTGTCGCTCGTGAAGTACGGCTGCCTTGAATTGATATTTATGAGGGGTATTAACATTAGCCATAATCTGGCCCATTGTCTGGACATTCATTTAGTGAGTTGTGTTGATTGTATTTAATAATTTTGCCTCTTTTTTACCCTAATGTGAATTATGGAGTAAATTAATTGTGTTTTTATTTTATGCTAAATTTATTAGAAGTTAATACAGGACTCTGAAAGAGATGTCTACTTATTATTCAAGAAGTTTGTCGATAAATTCATTGAAAATTTTGATGATGACGTGGTTATTGTGAATCTGGTACGTTTTATGAAAATGAACTAGCTTATATTTAACCCTAGAAGCTTAAACTGGGAGATTAGTCTCCCATTTGCACTTTGAATTTCAATTAAAAATCAACAAAGAGTGCTAGCTAGAAAAAAATCCAGAAATGCCTCATAAGTAGTTAAATTTATAAAGTGCTGAATATCTCAATATATCAAACATTTACAAGTTTAAAACATGAATTTAAGCTTATATTTGTTGTTTTATAGACCTTTATATAAGGCTCGATATAAGGGGAATTCGATTTAAGGGACATATTTTCCATTTCACCAATCATTCGCTTAAATTGGAGATGACCTGTAATTCTTAATAGACCTTGATATTAATAGTTTTAAAATTTCAATTAAAATTAGTTGTCATATAATATATAATATAGTATTTACGCTAACAAATATCAATGAATTTATTTGACATGTTAATAAAATTAATACTTTAATTAATCAATAAAATATTTTGTAAATTTTATACATTAATCAAAATGTTTTACAATTCATGAATCTCTCGGCAAAGTTGTCCAGAAATATGTGTCAATTCATTGAAGTCTTGAGTTTTATTTTCGCACATTTTGTTGTGTTTATGCAAATCAGTGGCAATTCTCAGGTCTGTTAACCCAGTCATTAGTGATTGAAGTTTTGTTTCCCAATCCGAGCGGTATTTCAATAGTAGATATCTTTGCAGTAAATATATATACAGTTGTTGTTCGAGTCTAACAATTAAATTAAATAAAAATTAATAATTAATTAAATAAATTAAAACTTAAAAATTAATTTTTATCATATACTTACTTAATACAGATTTTATGTGTCAAACACTTGCGTTTGGGGTTAAATAGGATAATCGCAGCTAACTATGTAAATAATTCGCAAATTAATTTTGAATATAAGCTAGTTCATTTTCATAAAACGTACCAGATTCACAATAACCACGTCATCATCAAAATTATCAATGAATTTATCGACAAACTTCTTGAATAATAAGTAGACATCTCTTTCAGAGTCCTGTATTAACTTCTAATAAATTTAGCATAAAATAAAAACACAATTAATTTACTCCATAATTCACATTAGGGTAAAAAAGTGGCAAAAATTAAATACAATCAACAAAACTCACTAGATGAATGTCCAGACAATGGGCCAGATTATGGCTAATGTTAATACCTCTCATGAATATCAATTCAAGGCAGCCGTACTTCACGAGCGACAACTGGTCGTCGGCGCAGCACTTTGTGAACCCCTCCAAACGTTTGGTGAAATTTACCACTTCGTTAACGCGGCTATCAGTTTGCTGTGCGCTAAATATTTGACCATGCTCATTTTGATACCCTATACTATCGCTATGTATTATGTGTGAGAAAACACTGGACGCGTTCAACAACTCATTAATACGGCTGCACTCCAACCGATTGATACCCTCGTAATCCGTGATAACCCTAACTATAGGCTGTGTTGTGTAGTCACCGATACTTGAAATACAATTCGACATATTCTTGATGTCCATCACCTGTTGGATCAGCTCATCGTCGGTGATGTTCAACGGATCCCGAATTAAATTATCAATTTCTGGGCACTTATTCTCGTTGTCCGCCACTTCTTGCGGGCCATCACTACTACTTGTCGTTGAGTTTGCGTTCAGTTTTTGCCTTTTGTTTCTTTCCTTTGTTTGCTTTCGCTTTTCATTTTCGGCTAAACTTCTCATTAATTCCTACAAAAAAAACATTAAAAATATTTTGTTATAAATATATAAAACAATTTAAAAGTATTTTTAATACAGTCTTCATTCCCGATGATAAACACTTTAAGAGTCGACATTTTGGACACAATTTTCTCGTTTTCACGTTTACGATGCAGTTCTCGCCGGAGAAACAGTTTAACATCTATTCAACAAAATATGCGATTAATTAAAAATAGTTAATTAATTTATAATAATTATCATCATTAAACTTCTCACTATATTTTTAAAGGCGTTTCTACGAAAAAACGCTTTACAACTCTCACAAGTAATGGCACCGAAATTTCGACCTTAATTATGGGTTTAATTACATTAGGAATAAATATTATTTAGTTTTAATATTAATATAATTATAAGTATTACCGATATGTTTAGTATCGCCGCAAACGCCACATATGTTAGCCATTTTACTGACACTCATTTTATTAATTATAATTGTCCTTGTTAATAGTGTAGTATTGAATTATAATCAAGGTAAAATGAAATGACATGATGGTGTATAAATAGCTACCTATCAGGAGGGTGAATTATTAAATATTAAATATTTGATACAGGTGTAGAAGTAAAATGATAAACGTTAGATATTGTCGAGATTTATCTCATAATACATAATCTCGTAATATGTATCAAATTTAACTGTACAAGGTGATTTAATAAACAAATGTCATAAATGAAGAGTTGTATATTATTATTATATTGCAGCATGATATTTTAATGTCTTAGATACGGTTGCCACTAGAATATATCAATTACGCAAAGTTTTATACACAAATATTTTAGTTCAAGAAAGTGTAGAAGTCTTATACTACAAGACCTTGATGTTTGAAAAATTGCTAATTTGAATTTGTCTGGTAAGTAGATGCTAGTTGAAAATACAAAAATACAGGCACTGGGTTAACAATACACTGATATAATTGTAATAAATTTATTAATAAGAATTAGAATATTTACAACAATATAATCTCGTAATATGTATCAAATTTAACTGTACAAGGTGATTTAATAAACAAATGTCATAAATGAAGAGTTGTATATTATTATTATATTGCAGCATGATATTTTAATGTCTTAGATACGGTTGCCACGAGAATATATCAATTACGCAAAGTTTTATACACAAATATTTTAGTTCAAGAAAGTGTACAAGTCTTATACTACAAGACCTTGATGTTTTATAAAAATTGTCTTATTTCAAATGACCATAATATTATTAAACTTGCTAATTTGAATTTGTCTGGTAAGTAGATGCTAGTTGAAAATACAAAAATACAGGCACTGGGTTAACAATACACTGATATAATTGTAATAAATTTATTAATAAGAATTAGAATATTTACAACAATTAAAAATAGGATTAAATTGCGAACTAGGTTGTTTTTATAATAATACAAATTGTCGAGTAATTAAAGCAAACTAAAAATCATAAATCTCTCTACAAAGTGGTCCATAATATTGTAGGAAATATTTAGTGAATACAAAAGAGTCGACCGATAGATCACTAGCCGTTCCTACGGTTCGCGTCATTAGAAACGATAAGCATTTCATTAAGTCTTTAAAAAGTTGTTCGCAAACGACGAGTAGTTATACTAAAGAATGGCAACAAAAGAGTTGCAACTTTTCGACTCGAAGAAAGGCATTTTAGTTGATTGTGTGCCGTCACGGCTTAACGGCGGGCGCAGTACACGGCTCACACGTTGACGTCCAAGTGATAGCCATTGATTACAAGTTTGTATTCATTAGTGGACTCTCGCGTCACAACAACTGCCATATCACTCATATTGTCGTCCATTTATTGAGCTTTCCTTTTGGCGGACGACACGATCAGTTGGAAGTAGTGTCGGGGAGAGTGAGTGAGTGTTGTGTGAGTTGTCAACCGTAGAGAGTGTTATGTTGTAATGTTTGAATGATTGACTCTTTGCTAATATTTAATGCAGTGATTTGTGAAATCAATATGAGTTAAATAACTAATCATTGAATTGTTATATTAATTATATTTATATAGTATTTGTTTAAATTATATTTACAAATATTTTGTCCGAATAATTGATATTAGATTTTGAATACAAAAATATTATTAAATTTAGAAATTAAAAAAGGGAAGTAAACAAAAAATTCTAAATTGAAATTAAGTTTTTATAACAAACTAATGGATTGTATTCCAAGCCATTTATCAATTGAACATTCAATTTGACAGTAAAATGGCTTCAATTGGATGCGAATCAGTCAATAATAACGAAATTAAGACAAACGAGATGTATATTACAAACTCATGAGCCGAGTATTCGCGACCCAACCGTTTGGGTTATACCACACAAACCATCACTACGACTGTCAAAGTGTGGTTCATCACCACAATCAAAACCACCAACACTGACACCAACCCTACCATCCAAACGGTTCAATCGACCAACACTTCCACAACTGATCGCATTTGCTTTAATGAACTATATGTTTAAAAATTCACTCATTTTTAGATTTATTAAAGTTTTTCTTTTTAACACTTAATTTCGTTTAAATTGTTTTTATTGTTTATTTTGATTACAATTCGGGGGAAAACTCAGGAAAAGGTAAACAATGTCTGAAGTGAGCGTAAATGCAATGTTCTCTCTCTCTCTCTCTCTCTCTCTCTCTCTGCCGAGTAGTAATCAATACAGAATATTGTAGACATATATTGTATGTTTGAGTGACTGTTTGAGAGTTGGTCTGCGGATGTGAACAGAGTATTACTCATATCCACATCCATATGGAGGACAGACAGACAGTCATACGGACTGAACATCATATCGGGGGA